CAAATATGTAACTAATATATATGAGATTTATAATAGAACTACTTTATGGTATCAAAAAGTATTGAGGCAATCACCAATTTGGTGAAAATGAAAGATAGGGAATTTATCAAAACACTAACAAAGAATTTAACAAACAACAATATTCAAAGTTAAGCATTCTGTTGGTTTTATGTTGTTCATCAACATAAAACCAACAGAATGCTTAACTTAATTGAGAAGAAATAAAACAAAGTTAATAACTATGTGTGGTAAGATAAAATAAAAGCTATATTTTAATACATTTGTGAAAAGCCTATCAACAGTCAGAAAACTGATCTTGTATGAAATAGCTTTCTTATAAGAGTTCAATAGCAAAAATTCAACAGCTTCATAAAGCTGAAGATGTGACTGATGTTATCAGATTGTATTTTAATTTTCAACACTGAAAATTAATGATTCAAAAGTAAGTAAATGACTTTAAATTATAATTAAGTTGATGAACTACTTGCAGATTGTTTTCTTTTGAATGCAGAAGAACCAACTGCTGAAGGAGTCAGAAGTGTTTTGTGCGAAGACAATTGACTCCTGCGTAATTTTGATGTGAACTCATTACTGGACTCCACTCACAAGTTACGAAAGATTAATATTGAAATTCCAATTTTCTTGTTTTGAGTTTCACTTTCGTACAAATTTTATGCTTGACTAAAAATATAAATTTTTCCTATACATAGAAAGAATTGTATACTATTCTTCATAACAGAATCATTCCAATTATGGTGAATTGCAATCTGAACTCTTGTTCCGGATTTCAAATGTGAACTTTGACTTGGCCTGCCCAGCACTTTGACTTTCTCTAATCTAGATCAATCCTGAGTAATTTTGCCTCTATGTTTAGGATCACTGTCTTTATTGAAAGGGCAAATTTTGATCCAATTGGAATTTCTTGGCTGATTTCAAAAGATTCTTTAGTATTCGTTTATGCAGTTAACCCTCTTGCTTTCATCAATCTTGTTCATATGTATAAATGAAAGAGAGAAGATTGACTGTATATGGCACTGTCTTTTGTTTCTTTTATGTTGACACAGTAAAAGATCCAACCCCATATTTGCCAGTTGAGATGGTGTTTGTTCAATGTTAACCTGTGTCAATGTTTAGTCACATATCATTCTGAATTTTGATCAAACTCATCTGCTTGCACAAATTTGTAAATCACTAATATATAGATTTTCCAAAAGTCAGTCTCACCAAATTTCAGAGCTTCAGTAACTAAATTATACAGTTCAGCCTACCATCACTGGTAAAAACTGACATCATGAACTGGGTGTGGTGGGAGTTTGAATCCCCATAGAAATACAAGAGTGATGGATTGTCTCTGTTTGAATTTTAATATAAGACCAAAAAACATTGGATTTCAGTATCACATTATCTATCTCTGATAAACACTTCCTAAATTGATCAAACATAAAGTGTTTTAAACTCTATGGTGATGTTCTGTCTGAATTTCTGGGATCAGGAGTTGTCATTATTTACACAGGGACAATTGTCTTCATCTTTGTTGTGCATTCTGGTGTATGTTGATTCAGAACTGAAAACTTCATTTAATCTAGAGGTAGATTGTTCTCACCTATGTCTAATGATATCTGGCCTAGTTATTTTTAGTACTGCTATTGTTACTTGGTCTAAGGATTGGACTTACAATTTGTCATCAAATTATCAAACCAGAGCTTTAATCCACTAGACTATTGTACTGTGGGACAATTTTCTGTGGAGAATCTGGAGCTTTAAACTTAATCTGCCTGCTGATGAGTTTTGCTGCTGCTTGTCATGCTTGACTGCACTCACTGAAGCTTTTCTCTTTCTGCTATTGAAGACTTGCTGTCTGTCTTTATTAATTGCTCCCATATCTTATTTATTCCTCTGCTAGGTCGACTAAAGTGTTCCTCTTAATCTAATCTCTGGTGAATATATGTAATATATTTTACCATGGTTTTGGTTTTACTTTAGGGTCAGGTTGAGAACTTTTCATCATTTTCTCACATGTAAGATAATGATGGAATTTTATAGCTTCTTACCTATGCTGCTTGCTTCATGATATGTAAGAATGTAAAATGACCTGAGCAGAGTGATGAGATGAAAGAAAAATTAGTCAAAAAGGGATTAAATTATATTTTTAGATTTATTTCAGAACATTTCAAAAACATCTACTGATTAAGCAACCAAATCTTTTGCCTGGAGAAAACTAAAAAGAAAAAGAAAAAAATAACGACCTGATGCAATTAAAATATTTGGTTCTATTTTGTACCTTTACCTTTATAAAATCTATTTAGCATGAAATTTTTGCATCTAATTAATGTTTGATTGCTGCATAAACTAAAACCACTTAAGTTGTTCCTGATTGAGTTATTTTAATTCTCTCCTACACTGTTACCTTTTTAACTAATAATAAAAAAAACTTTGCTTCCTTTTGGAATATCGAAAAATTTGTTTTTATCATTATTTTTTTTTTTTTTTAAATAAAAAAAAATTTAAGTAATTTATTTGATATTTATTTTGTGGTGAATACTGTTGTGAAAATTTTATTTAAAACAGTGAAAAGAAGCAAAAAATATCCTTTCCATGTTGACAGCAGTGAATATTCTATATACACTGAAGCTGATAAGCAAAGGAAATTACAGCTTGAGTTGAAACACTGGTTTTCATATAATTACTGAAGTTAAGCAACATTAAGCCAGGTTAGTACCTAGATGGGTGAGCATATGAAAATATCAGGTGCTGTAAGTTTGAAAGTACAGGTGGTAAAATGGTTAACGATTTGAAATCGGAGTGCTGACTTCCAATTCCACTTGGGTTTGTTATATTTACTTATGCCCAAAATCCTTCAGAAAGTTATGAATCCATCTCATCTCCCACCAGCTATATATCAGTAATTCTTATCTCCAAAAAATTGTTACAATCTAAAAATATTCTATAGCTTTCAGTAACCTGCAAAAGGTTGATAAGCCATAGAAAAAAACGAAACAAATCAATGTATCTTTCAAAAAGAAATTACTTTCTCTATTGTTTTATAGACACCACACATTAGTTGAAGAACCCTGAGATAAAAGGCTGCTTTTGGTTGTTAGTGCTTAATCAAAGACTTTGAAATGAAAAAAAATGTTTTTGACAGGTCATTTCAGATGAAGAATTACACTTACTAGTATCATCATTTATAAAGGTTTAAAAAAAACCATAAAACTTAAGAATTGTATTAACAGTATACCAAACAATATTAACTTGGTCTGATTATCAACCTGTTTCTTATCCTGCGTATACTCTTGCAAGCTGTGGTATCTTTATCTAACAGTTAGAAGTAGGGTAGCCATTTAGTTTTTTTCTAGCAACCACAAAAATATATGAATGCGTTTTAGCAGCCGGGCCAATTCTCTCATAAATATCTTTGGTTAAGTTTTTTTTTATGCTTAAACTTTTCTTTGTCTCAGAAATTCATATATTTTTTTCATAATACTAGTAGATAAAGCATCACAGTTTCTTTTAGTCTGATAAATATTGACAGTAGACCCATACACCATATATTTTCATGAAGGTATATTTTTTTAAATTATTATTGTGGGTTGTGGCACAGAGAAGGAAAATGTCTCAAGTTTTCTTCTCTTTTCAAGAATAATATTTTATTTTTGAATCATCAGCATTTATGCAGTTTCATAAAAAAGTAAGACAGGTGATGAGTGTAGAATTTTAAAAAAATGAATTAGTTCAACTTATGCTTATAGTGTTTTTTTGGTTTTTTTTTTCTTGTGGGACATATTGGTACTAATTATGTCTATATTTAAAGAAGTTATTTAGATTTGTACTAATTTCTCCATCATTGTTATCATCATCACTTTGTTTTAGCCTTTTGTGCCTCTGTACTTCTTTGGGTAAGCTTCAGGGATTTTCAGATTATACCCTTTCTTTAATCTGTAGGGGTACAGCAGGCATGGGAAACCTTTTCTGACCAATGGGTCATATGAGATATGGCTTATCATAAAGCAGGTTGCACTAATAAAAAAATTCAAAGTAATTTTTTGTTAAAAATAAAACAGCTATTTTCCATACAGAAGATTATATGACTAAGCATCTGCCTTAGAAATGGGAAAAAGGTTGATATTTTTTATTTGAAAAGATTGTTTCTCCAATTTATTATCATCACAGATGACTGAGTTGTTTCTTATTTACTCATTTTAAAATACAAAAAAAAATCTTTTTAAAACAAAAACAAAATTTTTAGTAGAGAAAAGAAAAAAAATATGAATGTTTCTCATTTTTTAAAGCAAAATATTTTTACATGTATAATTATACTTAATGAAAATTGCCAATGGTTTAAAATGCTGAAAATGTTACCTTCAATGAAAGGTTACAAAATTCAAGAAAAATGCTTAATTGTTGTTATGTATGTGGTTTAGTTGAACTGTTTCCATAGAGCAACAAGCAACGATCTTCATGTAGAAGTGTGATTACTTAGGCATTTAATAGTTATTTCCCTTTGGTACCAGCTTCTCTCAACCTGTCTGCATCTTCAGAGAGAATGTGAGTGAACAAGTGAGAATGAAACAAAACACAACATTTTTATAAACGTTATTTTCCTCATTAAATTAGGCATACCATTTAGAAGTCCAAACAGGCCACAATTTGCCCTTGACTGAGGGTAGAGCATTCTTGTTGCACTGTCCATGTCTATTGATATTTTATGTTTTTCTCTTTTTGCTTCAATCACTGTACACACTCAAATTCAGTGGACACGCACCGTACGCATTAAAAATTGGTGGACATAGCTAGTAATAACTAAGTAGTGTAAACTTAAGTGCCATGTCTCATCAGACAATACTTCCGTAGCTTTCAATAATACCTACTATCACTTGCAGTCCCTGTTCTGATACCCTTTTACATAAACTCATTAGGTAGGTTAATCAATGTTTCCTCTCTTACCTTTTATATGTCATGTGAATGTCAGATTCTCCTAGTCCCCTTTTTTCATTTTGTTCCCAGTTTCCATACAATCACTGAAGTTAAGCAATGTCAAGCCTGGTGAGTACCTAGATGAGTGACCACTTGAGAATACCGGGTGCTGTAAGCTAGGATGTACAGATGGTGTAATGGATAATGGCTTAGAATTGTTAATCAGATAGCAGAGTTCCAATTCCCATTAGGTTCATTATATTCACTTATGGGCAAATAGCCTTAGGAAATGTATGATTCCATCTCTTCACCCACCAGCTATTGGTTAATAAAACTAGTATCACTAAATCATTATTATCTCAAAAAAAAAAAAAAATCTAAAAATATTTTCTGGATTAAAAAAATGAATGAATCAATCAAACTTCAATATGTTGTGTGAGTGTTGGATTCTCCTAGTCCTTTTTCCTTAGTGTGTTCCAGAAATTTCATCTCTCTCTCATTCTAATTATAAGGATACTTTTATTTCAATTTTCCTTAAAACTTCCTCATAACTTATCTGTTCAGTCTGTGGTAGCCTCTGTTGAACCACATTTGTCTTAAATCTTTTCATCTGTAAGGAAATTGTCTAGTATTCCTTGCCATATGGGAGGATTGATATTACATAGTTACGCAGTTTATTTTGGGATCTCAAAAAAAATTATTCTATCTTTTCAAACTTAGTTTAGCTTTTTTTTTTTTTTTTCAAAGATGTCTTTTGCTGTTCCAATGCACCTTTGACTTTTTGTGTCACATTTTCCGTTTTGAGTAGATATTTATCAGTGAGTCACCCCGTAATCAAATACTGTCCTGCTAAGTTTTTAATTTTTCACTGAAAATGACCTGGCATTGAGATCATAACTTTCTTTATTGCAAATAAGAACTAAATTTTTTTTAAGATTATGATTAGATTCACTTGGCTTTATAAAATTCTTTTATTGAAATGGTTAAAAACAAAGAAAAAAAAAGAAATATGAAAGTATGTATATGCAATATGTCTTGTATTTAAATATTTTCATATCGTTAGACATGAAGATTAAATGCATCATCATGATACATATTAACAACATCTTTTATATATATATATATATATATATATATATATGATTTTTAATAAAATGTATACATTAATTTAGAGATAATTTTAATTTTCAAAAGAATGCTTGAAAGAATTGTGGTGCACTTCTCATCATTGCACTGTAAATGTTCCATGATTAGCCAATTTCTACCTGCCCCCCTCCACACTGTGTTTAGTGTTCTATTGCTTCAAGAAGGTCATAAGATCGTATGCATATTGAAAAGCTTCATAGCAGCACGATTCTCTTGTAAAAGAAGTAGAAAAGCAAATTTTCTCCTGTCAATGCACTTGAACTAATTAGCTTATCCCCATGATCCATAGTAAATTTGTGATTATGAAAAAAGAAAAAAAATTAATTTGATTCTTAATAGAATTAATTAATAAATATTCCTTTTAACTTTTAATTTTTGTCTTAATTTTTTTTTTTTGCATGTTCTTCAAGTTGATTGTTCAGACTGTACACTCATCCTAAAATGTTTTAATTTTTTTGTTTTATTTCTTTAATGAGGTTTTGCTCATCAATTTTTAATCTTCTTGATATAAAACAAATAAATCTTAAGCATTCAGGAATCAAATTGTTTAGATACATGTTTCTCAAAAAGTGAAGAAATCTATCAATCACACACACATACACACACACATACATGACATTGTGGAAAAGAATGAGCTTGAATGGGAAGCCTAAGGAGACATGAAGATTTATAACAATAACCAGGAAACAGCAACAGTACACGCCATGGGTCTTTTCAGTTGTAACATTTGTGGTAAACAATACCAGTCCTTGGCTGGCTTAAAGAGTCATATATGGGCAATATATATATATATATAGTTTTGTTGTTGTATATAAAAGTCTATGTTGTATATAAAAGTCTCTTTGAGAACAAAGCATATTTGTCATTCTTTTTCCTTTCACCCACTCTGTTTTGTCTGTGAACTACATTGTTGTTATATCACAGATATAACAATGCCTGTAATGAGAGAAATGTAATTTGGAGAATAAATATTTCTTCTCCTCACTCTTGTTACAATGATAATAGTAACGTCTTCCTTATAAGGAAACATTCAGTATTCAGTGAGCAAACAACCAGTGCTACTTTCATTTGAAATTTATAAAATCTTTCTCTTAAAGCAATTTTTCAGGATAGTATGTTTCTCATACCCAGAAACTGTTATTGCTTTTACCAGTATTGATGGGAGTTTCCTTTTCCTCAAAATAATTATGATGCTGATATTCAACACTGTCATTATTTTCTCTTTGTGTTATGTGTGGTATTCATTTTAGTTGTTTCTGCTGTTTGGTTATGTTCTTTGGGATTTTGTAGTGCCAATTCATGAGTTTCAAGGGAGGATGATCCTAATTAGGACCTTCATTTGCTCAAAGCCATTTTTAATTGTTGATGTGAGGAAGTGGCTGTATACAGCTGACATTTCTGAATAGGATGGGTATGATACCTGACATCCATATCAAAGTTTCAATCTGATAAATCTATTTAAGAACATTAGTTGAGTTCTTAGGTTAAGGTTTTGATTTTATAGCATCTTGTGGTGTTACAGTGCTTCAGGGTACATAGTGCCAGCCAAGCTGTATATTCTGATCACTCATGTCTGGCAAAAATTACAGCCTGTGAATATGGCTGATAGGTAAGTTGGGTGGATTTTGTTAGAGTAAGCTATAGTTTGTTCTCATCGCAAATGAAAGGTTTGCTGAAAAAGTTCTCAGACCAAGCCATTTCCTAAAATCATTATTTCAATGTGTCAGAATATTGATATCAGGAAGTAGGTTGTGCTCATAACATTTCAGCACCCCTTAAGTGTTTTATAAAACTACCATTAATAAATATTAAAAGTAAAGAATATATCCAAGCCCAAAATTGTTACTTCCCACACTTGAACTATCTCTTAGAACTATTTCCAAACAACTTTTTTTTTCTTTTATTAACATTTACCCAATATAAAGGCCCATAAGCCATTCAAGGTAGATGGTTACATAATGATGTTATATGAACATAAGAGTAGGAATTTATGAAGTTATGTAGGAGAAACTTCTCAGAATATCTGTATTGTCCAGAGTCTCACTAGATGATTTCATTTGTAGATTCATCCTAAACTGCAGGTAGAACTTTTGAAAATATGTAATTCCCGCCATGCTTTATCTTTAAAAAAATTGGATTAGACCCAAAATGGTGTATTGATGGCACATCTGGTTGGAACAGCTTAGTCCTGAATTTCCTGCCTTGACAGTGTTAAAAATTGTTTAAACAATCTGGTGAAGGAAGACATTCTCCACTCTGCAGCTTCCTTTCCACAGACACAATGTTGAAAGCCTATCACTATTGCTATCTCCAGGGTAAATATTAGGATTATGTCCATTCTTTAGTTTCACCAGTTCAAACCTTTACAACTAGGGCATGCCATGCCACTGCTACAGAGTTGATTGATCCTCATTTCCTCCGTTTTCCAAATTTAAGACATTTCTACTCAGAAACTTATCATTAGTCAATATGTATTCAGATGATATCATAGTTTATAGGTGCACCTCCTCACCACCAAAAAATCTACATGACCAGAGACTGGCAACTGATCTGACCTAGCTCTAACCACCCAATAGGGGAAAAGTGACCTGTAACTTTCAGTGGCTCGAAAACCAAGATAGTGATGTTTCACCATCACTCACCAGACACTGAATTCTCTCCAGTCCTGATGACAGCTTGCACTCTCAAAAAGGGTCCTTATTTTGAACAACTCGAGTGTAACAAATGGTTCATTGTGCAGAATGCTTGAAAATGGCCAGCTCCTTGTACTTCCTGATATGCTATATATTTACAAGTGTCAGATCTGACCAAAAATGTAATATTCCTGCCATATCTTAGCTGGAACTGCTCAATCCTCACTTTTCAGCATTGACCGATTTTAGAATCACTTGCCCAGTATTGTGGGCGTTGACATTTTCCACTCAACAGTCTTTAACCCATAGGTGCAGTGTTGCAAATCTGTTGTTACTCTATTGCTAATTCCATGGCAACTGTTCAGACAAACATCATGTTTTAGTGTCACCATGCCATTACAGCCCAAATTCACCTTGCTCCATCCATTGGATGGAATCACCTTCATTCCCTATATATTCCTTTGGCAAGAAGTGTGCTCCACACTAAAAGCTTCTTTTCATGAACCATTACTTTGTAGAATACTCTTGTGTGGATGCTTCCCTGAACATTGAAGTAACTCATTTCAAATCTAGAATCAATGGTCATCTATCCACTATATCTTCATGATCTTTACTTCCTACTAATTACATTCATATCACACACCTCATTTAGCAACCATCTACCTTGAGTGTCTCTTGGGTATTTGTATTGTGTGAACTGTAGTAAAAAATAATAAGCTGGATAAAATTCAAATTGTTAAAAAATTGTAAATAGTGAAAGAGATACATGCAATCATGCTGATATGACCTGAATACAATCAAACAAAAAATGTGAAGACCCATCATAAGTTTAGTTTGAATTGCATGTATACAGCAACCATTTCTGTAATAAAGCATTATGGCAGTATACCAGGTGTAACAGCAAAATTGCCCAATTATTAGTTTAAGCTTTGAACCGTTGTATCTTAGGCATGATTAAGATATCTTACTGGAATTTTCCAAGATTTTTATAATATTATTGGACTCTACTTTGAGCAATAAGAATGTATAATTACTTTCAAACTTTACAGAAGAATTGTGATGAAATCAATCATAAATGATATTAATCATAGTTAAGGATCAGAAGCTCTTAATGGATTGAAATAAAGTTCAAATATATATATATTTTATTTCCAGATCATTTTTCAAATTATTCATGATGATCTTTGCCCTCTCTAACCTAACTTTCTGTCCTGGAGTAACAAGGTGCCTCACAGGTTTCACATACGATTTCATTTTCAAGTTTTTTTGTTTTTTTTCGCTGCTCTTTCAACTGTCATAACTGAAACTCCTCTCTTACGTACCAAATGTCTTATGGACTTAGTTGGATCTTTTCTAATTGATCACTTAAGTTCTCTTTAGTTGAAATGATGAACCCTCTTCCTGTTGTGATCTCCTGATCTAGTTTTCCTCTCTACTTTTCCATCTTTTTTAAACTTATTCATCATTCTCTGGATGATTGCCAGAGTATGAATGTTGGTACCATTACTGAAGGCCTGAATGATCTTTTCCCTCCCACCATTGCTTAGTTGGGAACACTTAGTGGGGCCGACACAAAACAATTTTAACCTGTTCTCATTCTAGCTGAATAATGATTTTTCAGTGATACTTATGATAAATTACAGAACTGTCACTTTATGGTATAGATTCCAAAGAGGATGCTTCCCTGATTACTCAATCTTAATTTCTTCATGTCTAGGGTCAACTATTATTTATCCTGCATATCCTCATAATATGCACTATTGACTTTCTCCCCTTACAGAATACTCATGAAGTAACCCTTAACCTTGAGTGGCTCTTATGCCTTTTATTGAGTGAACTATAAATAAATATCTTGTCATGAGTTTTTGATTCCAGATGGTTTCAACCAGAAATAGAATTAGTTATATAATTGTCTCATTCATAAAGTACTTGATGAATTGAACTTTTAATAAAGGTTTTTATTCCTTCTACAAAATTGCAACATTGCTTTTAATACTATTGAGAAAGGCATATATCACAACTCAACTATGAGCTTAATAGTATGGTAGATTGGTCACCATACAAGAATAGAGGTTCAGAGACTGAAAAATCTGAATTCCATACTGTGGAGGAGGCCCACAGAAAACCACTCCACTATTTTTCCCAAGAATTAAGAAGGAATCTCTGGGGAGAGTTATGATTGTCTACAGTGTTTCTCAAACTTTTACCCTTGTGGGTAAGTTTTCATATCTCAGGAGAGCACTGCAGAAAATGATTATATAATTTAAATTATATAAGAGGTTGAAACCTTTATTTTAATAATCAAGGATTTGCAACAATATGTTGTACATGGCATTGTAAAATTATGAATATAAAATTATGAATAAATTAGTCAAAAATTCATTAGTCTATTTATTACCATTTCTGATGGAACCCCTAGTGACCTCTTGTAAAACCCTAGGGTTCCAGGAAATGACAGTTGAGGAACATGGGTCTACATCCTGAATGAACAGAGCATTTTTAAAACAAAGAAAAACTGCATAATTTACAGCTTAGTTTTCTTTATGTAGTAATCAGTTCTAGAGAAAAATAAAGTTTGATAGTGTCAGAGACTTGTATGAGTTAAATAGAAAGGTAATTGAACCTCTAGCCTTGGGCAGCACCCAGAAATGAAAAAGTCGGAATTCCATGCTCTGGAGAAGGTGACAAAAAATCACTCCACTATCTTTCCCAAACATTCATGGTGGTTCATAAATAATAAAGAAAAGGAATCTGTGGAGAAACATGGTTGTCTATGTCTTGAAGGTACAAGATATATATATTTTAATGAAAAATAACAACTTTTGTTTTTTTTATTCAGTAGTGATTATAGAGAAAAAGTCTGGTAGTGTGTAAGTGTTGTTTTTATCTTTCAAGGCATGTTGTGGATAATATTTTTTTTTTTTTTACAATCACAACTTCTGTTAGCCAAAAGCAATTCTTTAAAATGTCTATTTCATTTGATTTCAGTTGCCAGCTTTGGCGAGGTTACAATGACAGCGAAATTGGAATCTGTGATATTACTAGCGTTCTTCATGGTTTAAAATTGATCGAGAGGAAAGAAATAGAAGAAAACTTGCTGGACTGCACCAATAACTACAGTAGAGCTGGATGCTACTTGCTTACATCATGGTCATCTGTTCTGGCTAATACACATTATGTCTTCTCTTATGTCTATCCAGGTACGTCATGTCTTTTTTGTCATCTTGGAATTCTTACTGATTTTTACCATTTCTCTGTTATTTTTCTTGCCTTTTTATTGTAAAGTTCAGGTTGTTTTACATTGTATAACCATTAAGAAACTGGATAGGAAATAAGGATTAAATTGCTGATTAAATGTGAACAATCATCATTTGTGCTTATCTACAAGATATGCAGATGATACAGTGTTGATAGCAGACATAGAAAGAAAACTACAAGAACTCTTACAGAAGATTGGAGAGAGAGAAGAAAAGACTAAGCATCAATTGCAAGAAGACATAATGCATAGTTGCCAGCAAAAGAAACAGCCCAACATACAAATTAGGGATACCAAAATCCCACACATACATCTTAAATATCTGGGAAGTATTTTAAAAGAGGACGGAAATTGTAATATTGAAATCTGAAGATGCACTGGCAGAGTGAAAGATGCTTTCCAAAAGCTAAGCAATGTATTAAGAAATAGAAAAAATTCATTACAAACAAAAGAAAGCTTGCTGAAATGTTGTGTTTTATTGATAATCCTATATGGCAGTGAATGCTGGAAAATCTCTTCACAGATGAAGAATAGACTTGAAGCAACATGTAATTTCCTGATTTCTAAAGAAAGCAGTAAGATTTTGGGTAGCCATGCTTATCAGCAAGGGGAACAGTCCAATATGTGAATTATGAACTGAAGATGCTAAAATTAAGTAAGTATGAAAATTTAAATATCTGGAAAGTGTTTTTAACAGAGGACTGTAAATATGACACTGAAATCTGAAGGTGCAATGGAATAGTGAAAGGTGCATTCCAAAAGCTAAGCAAAATATTAAGAAACAGAAAAATTTCATTAGAAACAAAGACAAAACTGTTATGTGATCTCAGTCCTCGTATATGAAGGATGCTGGGCAATCTTAAGAGATGAAGAAGAGATTGAAGCAAAAAAAAATATGGTTCTGCAGAAGGATGCTGAGAATACCATGGGCCGAACATGTGAGAGAAAATGAAAACAAAAAGTAGATGTACTTAATATCAGAAAGATCTTTAAAACTTCTAGGGCACATAATGTGGGCCTTGGTGTTACAGGCAGTGCAGTTGGTGTCTTTCTCAACCATGCCTCACACATAATAATAATCCATCGAATTACAATCAGGAGTTAGGAGCCAGATGTTGGGGCTAGTGATGTAAAAAAAATTAACTGACTTCCACTTCTGACTCTTTCTAGGTGTGGCAGGGAGATGAATTTTGCTGCCACACTTATGGTCTTCCAGCAGCCACCTCCTCCAACCAAGGCTTGACCACTGCTCAACAGTTCCACATAGCCATCCAAACTGAGCCTGAGACCCTGTTCAAAGATGTGAGGTGGCATGACATTACCCTCTCTGGAGACACACCCCAAAATCATCAGAGTTTGTGGAAACTTGCTCTTCATGACATGAGGAATATCATATGGATTATAGGAAAGCCAGCTGTTGTTGTGCAGTGATTGTGAGAAAAATTATTTTTATCAGAGAAGAACAGGATTGTCTCTGGTTCAGTAGGATGTTTCACCTTGTTCAGAAGTTTCTTTGCCTTTATGGTTTTTGTGAGCTTTTTCTGTAAGAAGTTAACTTTTACACCTCTTGTATGATTGGTAGCAGAGGTCCTCATTTAAGACCAGCTTCATAGTGGAAATTACAACAAATCCCACAATTACAACAAATCCTACATTGCCTTGCCTGCCATCACTTTCTCCTGCAGCTGTTGGATGAATTCTGGTGTACAGGGGCAATTAGAATGTCTGCTGTGTTCTTTCCTACAAGCCACGGTCTTATAGTCTCTATTGCAGCTTTCCATTTCACATCTTAGTTTTCACAGTGTTCAAAGAGCATTGATCAGCGGTCGTGATTGTGGCATTTTGATGCCCAACACGAATCATCATGATGCAGGTTACCTTTTTCCAATATTCAGGTGTCTTCCACTTGTTCATGTCAGTTAACATTGACCCCCTAAAACTGTAGGGACTAGTTTCAGAATGCTGTTCACTGTTTACAGATATTCTAAACCAACCTGGAAAAATAAAAACATTAGACTGTCAAATTTAGCCTGAACACCCTGTATATAGGAGGTTGCTGGGAATTTCTGCATCAAATTTTTGTTGTAAGTCACACAAAAAATTCTGCAAATTTTAATGTCCAGTACTACTTGTTGTATATACCTCCAATATAATGGTAAGACATTAGCAGCAGTGGTGTCTTCATCTACCTAATATCTTACTGTTATGTGGGAAGTATTTCTGAGAAGTGCTCTACAGTTGAAAAGTTTGCAACTACCATCAGAATTAGCATGGAATAAATTTGACAGAAGTGTGAAAAAAAAAAAGAAATGAAAAAGTACTCTTAGCTTCATTTGAAAAAAAAGAATGGAATCAGTTATCAAACTTTGAGAAACTTTTGCAATAAATGGCAAAAATTTGTGCTGCCTGCAGCAAACACGGTTTAGCCTTGATTGCTGCAGCACAAATTTTTTTAGAGGATATTTTGACAAGAGCAAAATTTAATAAAATGCTTTTTGTCTTAATAAAATAAAAAAAAAAAAAAAAAAATCGCCTCTCACTTTTTTTTTTTTTTTTTAAAACCATGTATAATAATTTTCTCTTATTTAAAGTACAAAAAATTACTTTTTGGGACAATTAAAAAAAAAAAATTACCAGAGGCTAGCTTCAAACTTTTGAACTGTAGTGTATATATTGGAGGTATTTCTGTAGCACAATATAGGATTACATTCTTTCGTGTATGCATCCACAAAATATAACTACTATAAAACAAAGTAACTAATTCTGTTAAAAAATAAAGGTAATGTGTACATGCAGTCACTTTTATCTCTACTATTAACTCTATTGTTACTAGTAAGAAAGCTTGCATGAAACAAAAACAATGTATTAGCAGGTAATGAGATATCCCATTGTTATAGTAACACATGGCCCATCCTGGGTAAGACGATAAACTACGTCCTACATCAAAGCCTCTGATTAGGAGGTTTTGAGGAGCGTGGAACCACCTCTTAATTGCTGGTGTTACCGAGTCCATCCTGATCCGGGGTCATAGTACCTGCTAGGATCCCAGCTATGGGCAAATGGTTAACCCCAAAACTGAGATAAAAAGCATTATAAAAGTGTAAAAGTATGAATAATACATATAAAATCATTACTAGAAATAAATTTTTGAAGAAAAAAACTATTACCAGCAATACATTTTTGAAAACATTACCAGCTATACATTTCTGAGGAAAAAAATCTTTGTAAAGAAAGAAATATTACCAGCAATACATTTTTCAAAAAGAAAAATATTACCAACAAATTTAAAAAAAAATAAATATCACCAGCAATACATTTTTGACAAAACAAAATATTACCAGCAGTAAGAATTTTGTCTGCATTAAATAACACATTGAGGTTGATATGCCATAAACCAAACCAAAAGTAACACATGGCATGTCTGCTTCTTGGTGTCAATGCTTCCTGTTATTATAATAATGGAATATCCCATTTAGCAGATAAGGGGATGTTTGACTGTATGACCAACAAATAAAGCCATATCATTCCATATGAAAGCTTTTTTGCTAAAAGAAGTAATTCCTTTTTGTTTTGCTTGATATGAACTTTGACTAAAACTTATTTTTTTTATTGTAGGAACCACCATTATGAGGTGGAATGTCTTTACCCAGCTAGAAGAATCTAGTCTTGATTGTCATGCAGCAATTGATGCTCTGAGTCCAAGCAAAGGTAAAATAAAAATCTTTTTTCTTTTCTTTTTTAATTTTTCTATATTATTGGAGCTATCATGAAATTCTTTAGTCTCTCTGATGTACTGATACCTATTTTTGTATTCTTCTTTTTGTGCTGTGTCCCTTCAGGATGTAGCTCTACTTCATTCTGTCCCTTGTAGCTCTCAATAGGTTGTGTCCTCCTGTTATCTGTCCCACACCCTGTTCCACCATTCATTTGCTTAAGCCAGTTAAGTATGCCATTCATTGCTCTCCCTTGTCCCTCTTTCTGCACTGTGAGTATCAGATTTTCCAAGTCCTCTTTTCTCATTACGTATCCTAGAAATTTCAGCTGCCTCTTTCTGACATTAAATATGTTTCCATCCTCTCCAGTTGCTCACGTGTTCGGTCCATTGTGTCCTTCTGTAGAACTACACCTCTGTTGCCTGGAGTCTCTTCTTCATCTTTGAGGAGATTGTCCAACATTTGCTGAAAAGAAAAAGTAGGATAATTTTAAATGTGATGTATCTAAAGTAGGGTTTCCCAAACTTTTTAACTTCAAGGTGCACTTGTGAAATAACTAAATCACTGGAGTGCACTTTAGATTTTAGTAAGGAGAAATTAGTCATGAAATTTATGAGATTGTATAAAGACAACATTTGCTTTTTATCAGGTCATCCCATAAGTTCTGTCCGAATTTTGAATAAAGAAAACAAGTGACCAAATGTTACATTTAATTACACATTCAATCAACAATGTATTTTCCCTGATTATCTATGACTTCCTTCCATCTATTAACAAACTTACTAATTCCATTACTGTAAAATTCTGTTGGCTTTGATTTGAAGAACTTTAACCTCTTCCTGTGTTACAAAAGCTGTTTCTTGCAAATGATTCTGTAAGCTACAAAACAAATGGTAGTCTGAAGGAGCAAGATCAGGAGAATAAGGTGGATGAAGAATTTTCTCCCAACCAAGTTCTTCAATCTTTTGTGATGTGATTTTTGCTGTGACAGGTCGCACATTGTCCTGATGAAACATCACCTCTTTTTGATTCACTAGAGCAGGTCTTTTTTCCCTCAAAGCTTGGTTCAAATGCTCTACTTGCTGACAGTATATTTGAGCATTAATTGTTGCATTAGGTGGTAAGAATTCAAAGTGGATTATTCCTTGGTGATCTCACCAGATTGAAAGAAGAACCTTTTGCCCATGAAGTTCCCTTCTCAGCTGTGGCTGGGGTCCTTCCCCTTTACCAAGCCACTGTCTACGACGCTTAACATTTCGATAAAAGATCCATTTTTCATCACAAATCTATCCAAAAAAGGTGAAACAAGTTGGCAAGAATGGAGAGAAGAGTAGATGTCAACTCGGGATTTGAGGTTGTTTTCAGACAATTCATAAGGCACCCATTTTCCAAGTTTAGGAACTTTTCCAAGTTGTTGAAGATGATGATGAACAGTTGTATGGTTTGAACTGAGAACCACTGCCAATTTCAGTTCGATCTTCATCTTCAAGGGTGAAATCTCTACCTCTGAATTTTGCAAACGATCTTCTGCAAGTTCTTTCATTCACACATTCCTCTCCATAAACTGAGTGAATGTTTCTAGCCACTTTGGCTGCTGAGTTTCCTTTCTTGAACTCATAAAGCATTATGTGCCTCAAATGATTCTTGGATACTTCCATGTTAGCAGGGTTTTAATCAAATAAAATTTGATCAGTTTAAATGCATCTAAACATAAAAATAATGTTCAGCTCCATTCGACATTATAATTAACAAAAAGTTAAAATTCGGACAGAACTTATGGGATGACCTGATAGTTATGACAAATGATTAAGAGTGGAAAGTTATGATCGGTCAGATAAAGGAAAAATGAGAGAAGGAGAAAGTGTCTAATAACAATTTCTCAAACATTCTTGAAACTTAAAAGATATTTCTGATCTTGTCTTCTCCAATGTGGGTGATCATGGCTCTTCTCAACTTCCTATCTTTTGGATCTCTTAGTAAGGTTTGTTTCTTCACTATCTCTCCCAATTTCTGTTCTGCCATCTATTTACACAAGTTTATTAGGTAGGTTACTCACTGCTTTCCTTTATTCCTCTTACCTTTAATATGCTGCTAAACAAAACCAACATGACAGAACTCTTTCATGACATTAGTCAATATAATATCCTAAAATTTCTTCAAGAAATCAAAATATATTCCCAAATATAACTTCAACAAAACTACAACATAAAACACACACTCTAGTAATTATGTCTACACAAAAGCTGAATATTATCTACCATGTATTCAGTTGTGAAAGCAGAATAATGTATATAATATTTTTATTACTTCAAAGCTCTCAAGAAAATTAAATATTAGTATTAAATGACTCATAAGGAGTTGACATACTATTAAACAATCAAATCAATCTTTGGCTGTTGTTCTTGCTGATAACCATAGCAACAGACAATGTTAATGCATCCTTTGGAGAATCAGGAAAATTACATTAAAATCCCATTTATCGCTGACTCTATATGTTCAATATATTGGGAATATAATTCTTAGTAAAGTCATATTGTTAAATGTATTACTTCAAAGGTTTCTTATTATTTGAAAGAAGAATTGTAAACTTCAGTGAAATAAAACTAGCCATTGAAACTAGAGGATAAGGAATAGTCATTGTAATGTTCATCACAGACAGTGCTGTCTGCTCAAAGCACTTGGCCAGAATTTTAAAAGTTCTGTCTTTCTATAAAGGATAGGACAATTAGATGGAAAGAAACTGAAGCCTAAAAAGGGACTTTTTCTTTTAATAACTAATGATGATACTTTTTAATGTGGTGATAAAATCTTGATGATTATGTCTCTTTTTGTCTGATTCCTCATTTTGCCTCTAATTTACCATTTATATTTTTATATTTGAAGAACGTTGCCTTATTTTGACACTTTATTTTCTTGTTTGTCTTTCCTACCCCCTCTCTCATTTGACTCGAAAGAGCACTTGCTAGTTTTAGTTCACAATAAGATCAGCATTTTATTAAAAATTAAAAAAAACGGACATTTTAAACGTATATATAAATACTTGCAAAAATATATAAAAACAAAGCGGAGTGAGATCAAGGATAAGAACATTAATCATTGCAAAATTGTGAATCTTTTTTCATCCAGCACTTTAAGAAATTCTTTTTATTATATAAAATTATATAAAAGTTTCCGAGAATATTTATGATAACAATACTGCAATAATTCAACTATGCAAAGCAACAGATAAGATAATGATTGGAAAAGAAATAATAAAATTAACTGGGAAGGAACCAAAGCAAACATTAATGGAGAACAAATGCCAAAGGACCTAAATAGAGAAAGTTTAAAAATGAATACAAATAAAACACAAGTAATGGTCAACATTGTGAGAAAGATAATAAAAATAAAGGATGAAGAACTAGAAGAAGTTCAGGAATACATCTACTTAGGATAGGTGTTGACGTTAAAGAAACCATGAAACTAAATTAAAATTATGTATAACAATATCTTAGAAAGCATTTAATAAAAATAGATACTTTTCATTAATGATGATTTTCATCAGAAAACTTGCTGTTTTTTTTTTTTGTTTATATAATTTAGTACAATTTTAAGAAAATCCAATAAAATAGATTATTTTGACTTTAGATAATTCTATAAGTTTTATCTCAGCTTCATTTGACTAATTTGTAATGATGTGAAATATCAGATAACAATAATGCTTATTATGAATGCTGTAGGTTTTCTAACTTATGACAAGGCAGTTATGAATTTTTTTTTATACAAACACAAATTAAAACAAGCAATATTTCTGTTGATAAATTTTGTGTGGCAGTTTTTTAAAATTTGAATTAAAAATAAATAACAGATTAAATATTTTTTTAAATATTCTTTTTAAATAATTTAAATAGCATTTTTTAAAAGCATATTTCACTGCTTATATTGAAAACATCATTTTTAGTGATTTATATATATAAGGCTGAAAGGTTAGGGGCAAAATTTAACCTTAGCACAGGAGTTAAACATTGCCAATGAGGGCTTACTGAATCATGGCTATACCGTCTGTGCTGTAAGTGGAACAGTGTTTCTCCTCAGTTTAGATCAGAGAAGATTGCAACCTTGCAGCAGTAAATTCCTCATTGCACTAAAGTTGGGTCAGTGTAATAATGATGCCAGTGTGACAGTGGTCATGGGTGCTGGGCAAAAAACAATTTTTGTCCTTGGCCCATATGCATAAGTATGTGTACGGTGCTCCTCACATTAAAACTACCTTGTGTCACATCCAGCCTTGGTGCGGAGGCTAGGTAAATATAACTTACATGAATTTATAAAAGATGGGGTTTCTTTATTCTTTAACATATTGAGTCACCAGTTGATCTGATGTCAGTTATTTCTGTAACTCGTCTACTATTAATATTAAATTTCCCAACCACAATGTTTTAAGATATCTTTCTAGTGTCCAACCCCTAAAAGGAAAATAGGAAACAAGCTTTTGTCTTTATTCATAAATTCAACCTTGTCAAGAGTTGAAAGCAGAGAAATAACCCAAGGTCTCAAACAACAACAATTTCTTCTTCCTTTTTGTATTTTTTTATTATTCACCTTCTCATTATTGTAAATATGTCATTGGCTATTTTTTCTTTGTATGATAAAACATTGTAATTTTTGTTAGTAATCCCTTAAGGGTATGAAGATAATTGGTATGTGAAGATGTATCCCAGAAATGTATTTTTTTTATTTTAATGCCTGTTCCTTCCTTTCCTCATACATATTGACATATACAATAGGTTTTTATATAAAAATGTATGCTTTTATCCATCTGTGTACCACCTTTCCTCCCATTATAGATTTCTGTATACACACAATAGGTTTTTATATAAAAAAAAAATGTATAGATAGATCTCTCTGTATACCTGTGTGTGTGTATATATATATATATATATATATATATATATATATATATATATATGTGTGCATACATAATTTTGTATGTATGTATAAAAAAATAACTTAAAT